ACTTAGAGTCGTCAACATACAAATATTTAGGCCTAATCGTCCACGTGGTCCGGTAATTTCATTACGCTCATCGAAGTATTACAAAGTACATATTTCGTGACCACAAGATAGGCTCTCAACATATGTATTTTTAATTGGTCTTTCCGGTCAACGGAGAACATTATTATTATTATTGAAAACTCTGAACACTGTATATTAAATCGTTTCGTTAATTCGTAATCGATCTACGTTACGAAATTCTCTACGTTATCGTGTTTCGATTCAACCTTTAATTGCTAACGCTTTATCTTGCATGTTCATTGTGTATGTGGAAAAAAGTAAAATTTTTTCCTATAGATAAATAGATAGATAAATATATAAAACAGATATATATTTTAGATTGAAATTGTAAATAATATATATATATATATAATATATACAAATAATACATAAAAATGATTATTTCATTTAATTCTAAATTAGGAACAAAAAAATCAAAATTATATGATTACTTTTTAACAGAAAAAACTTGCATCCAATCTTCCAAATTTAAATAATTAAATTGAGTTTCTCCTGCAAGATTAATTTTTCAGATGCTACAAGAGTTTTGAAATTAATTTATTTTTTTGTAAAAATTTTTTTAACAATTTAACTTTCTTCAACTTTATATCATTTTATAATACTTTTTTTTTTAGATAAGTTATTAGATTTTAAAATAAATATATAAATTGAAATATATAAATATTTGCAATAAAAATATAATGAATATATAAATAATATAAATGAACAAATTAAAAATATTTGCTTAATGATTTATCGAAAATAAAAATTATATTATTTATTATAAATTACCAAATAAAAATTTATAAATTCTTTGAAAATAATATTGTTTAAATAATTTTCGACTACTTATACTTCAACAAATGTTTTGATTTAGATTTTCAACAACTTATAAAATATTATTACATAGAAGATAATTTTTGTTCAATTATAGTGATCAAATAACACTGTCTTTATATAGTTCAACATATCTCATATGTTTTATAAAATCCTGTTCGAAATATAATTTAACAGTAACAAATATATATTCCTTCATGCAAAGAACCAAATAAACTTTTAGCCAACTTCTCTCTATTACCGAGACTTCGTTAGCAATTAGAGGTTATGTTTCTCTAGTCAGTCTCCTCGTGTATAGTGTATATATAGATATCCATTACAAGTCTATATCAACGTATCTTCGTCTTGATTCGGAAAAACCATGAGCAGGGAATGTTGAGAAGTTGTTCTCTGGCTAGCCGTCAACAGAGCAGTTTTCTCTCCCCCGCTACCGTTTATGGAGCAATCAGGCGAGCTTCCCTCGAAAACGTGAGTCGTAGTGCTACTAGTCGAGGGCATGTCGTTCAAGTCTGGCGACGCCAAAGGCGGTGCTTGAATTGGACGTGTGTTATTGTTGCTGCTCTCTAGCGACACCAATTGCATACTGTACGACTCACGATAACCGGACGTACTGGATGTATCCTCGTCCCACGAGGCGTCCGACGTTTGGAGGTGGAGATGATGATGGTGATGATGATGATGATGATGATGATAATGAAGCGTGGCGTGAAGTTGTTGATCGTTGAGCAGATTACCACCTTTCTCGCAATCAGATTGACGGATGGAAGAACTTCTTCTCGAACGAATGGACGATGAGTCGGAAGGGATACTGAAGCTCGACGGTTCCATCACTGGTGTAGGTGGCGTTAGTATCGATGGTTGAGAAGTTTGCGGCTGTGATATATTGTTACTTTGTTCTGATTTCACTTGCACTGCCTGTAAAGTAAATTTTTAAGTCATTGTACAATTTTAATAATTTGATAACACATTCGATGTAATGGAAATCTCGAACATTTATTTCGTTCAAAACTATAATTTTAATAAATTTTATTTTTAAAATTAGAAATAAAAAATTTGCATAATTAATTCACGAGAATATTGTGATGGTAAAATTTGCATAATAATAATCCAATTGAATTTGAACGAAAACATAAAATTAAAAAAGATAGTTATTATTAGCGATTAATTGTATGAATTTAAATTTGAAAAATTTTATAAATTAATCGAGATTTGTTAAAATTTTAGTTTTGATGAAATCTCTTAAATTATATCTTTAAAAAAAAAATTAGAAAAAAAGTAATTATTCTCAATTTTTGAATTCCATGCAAAATTTGGAATTTTACGAATCTAAAAATTAGATTTAGATCTGTCTCTATTATTAAATCGATATTCTATTATTTCTGTAAGTATATCATTACTTCTACGTGACTTCTTCGACTCTTTCTCAATCGGAAAGTCTTCTTGCTTTGACCCATAGAGCGTTGTAATCGAGGTTTGTCTGGGCGGGATTCGCCTGAACTGTCTTCGTTTGGACTGGTTGGGCTGAGTTGGCTCGTCACGGTTTCCCCTGATATAAAATTAAAACGTGTTATCAATTCTCTTCACATCTGAAACACTACTCTCTATTCTACAATCTATCCATGCTGCTCTTCCATAACTACGAATTGCAATCCGACGTATATTTTTCGAATCAAAGCGAAGTAAGAATTGTATTTCATGGAATATAGATATCTTAACATGGCACTATATCTACTGAATATTTGTCAAATAGTCATTTCTTTTTTTATCTAATATTTAAATTGAAATTATACATGAATATATTAAATTTTATTCAAATTTTCTTAATAAAATATTTGATAAATAATCGTTCAATTTTTTTAAATCTAATATATAGATTTGGATAAAATAATATTTAAAAATTCAAATTGAGTATATTTATATTATATTTATATTTTATATTGTAACTTGAATTTATTAATTAACGAAATAATTTTAATTTG